AAGTGTGATTAATACGAAAAAGCACTTTGCTTTAACTCTAAATGAACTTTAATTTTTTGTCGGTGATATGAAGCAGTTAATGAACAGCATTTTTTTCGAATGAATGACTCGAGTCAAACAGCCGAATCAACGTCTTCCAATTTTCGAGTCCGAGTCAAGTCAGAGTCATTAAAAAAATGCGACTCGAGTCCGAGTCATGACTCGGACAAATCGCCCAGCACTGGGCAGATAAGCCGAGGCGATTGATTGTATCGATGAGAGATACCATGGGATCATAGTGAATAGTATGAATGATTTACAGGTTAGATTTGAATATGAAAAAGATCATAAAATAGCTTTTTTAGGACGTATTTTTATTTGTATAAATGAGAAAAGTGAGAAAATAGTTACGAGTTAGTATGAAAAAAGAGAGTAATTACACATTTATTAGATTTTAATTTTGACCATAGTTATGTGATGAAACAGAACATCTTTAGGAACATAGAATTAAAATAAGTAATAATGAAAAATATAATAAAGATGATTTATTGAGTTTAAAGTATATTTTTTTAAAGAATAGTGGCTATCCAAAGAGAGTAATAACAAAACATTTTCAAAAATCTAACGGTCAAAGTTTGTAATGAGTCATCCTTCCAATGTATGCCTACAACTTTTTTTCAGCATATAGGAATAAACCCAAATATTGGGAAAGAATTCGTTTTAAGACTTGCTTTTGGTTTAAAAACTAAAAAAGAATGTAATAGGCTAGTTAAGAAAATAGTGCATTAGTGTCTTGTATTTATTTCATCGCTAAAAGTAACTGAATTGTAATCTTTGAAACTAGGCGTTTTCCAACATCCTTGTGCTCTTTTCTGTATATAAAGAGACTGATAATTACTGAAATAAGTAGGAAATTGGGACTTTATTTGCAAGTTCATCCGACAAACTTATAGGACTCTAGACGACACCTCGATACCGATTTTTGACGAAAAGGAAAAATATACCATTACAAGTAAGCTTAGGTGTCGATTTACAAGTCGTTTGAGATATAAATTTTAAGAAATCTATTTGTCAAAAAAAGGTTGATTTTGTCGTTTAAAAATTTGTGAATGGAAGCACTTTTTGCTAAGAGCCGTGGAAAAAATTAGTAGAGAAGGGGAAGCAAAAATGAACAGAAAAGAAAGTATAATAGTTATTACTCATCGATGATAGAAAAATTAAGAATACATTTAGTTAAATTTAATATCAAAATTTATACTGTTTTAGATCGTAGTATAGGTTCAATGTTAAATAAAGCAAAGAAAATTGCACAGAAAGGTGGCGTCAAGATCAAGAGATCGACTGTAAATTTGATCAAGATAGTGTATATGGTATCCCGTGTTCATGTGGCGATATTTATATCGGTGAGACCTGTTCGTTTGACAGACGTATAAAAAAGCATATGTGTAACGCCGAACAGAGGGATATTAAAGAATCGGAGTTGGTACAACACGCAGAAAGTCCGCATTATTTCGTTGATATTGATGAAAGCGTTATTTTTTGATAGAGAAAAGCATTGAACAAGCAGAAACATATTGGAAACCGTATACACTATTGCAAATAAGAATTATAATAAATGTAAAGTGATAAATTCACTATCATAAAGTGAGTCCAACCTATAGGACGGGAAAAAGCTTTTATCCGATAGTAGACGGACTAATCATTAATTCAGTACAAGCTACGGGTAGAACATTTTGTAGAGTGATCGAGCCGGGCCGGGCTTGGACCGCAAACTATGTTGGTCGAGTCGGGCCGAACACAAAATTTTTTAAGCATACGCGGATTTGTAATTTATGTGTATACTCAGTATCGAGAAAGAGTATTATCACTGTTCCACGGCATACAGATACAAGAAAAAAATCATGCCTGGGACCAGAAAATTTTAAAAGTGCTTGACCGGGCTGGGCCAGAAAAATTTCAGACTTGGTCGAATCGGACCAAATAAAATCCACGTTTGGTCGAGTCAGGCTTGCACAAGAAGCTTTCATCATTGGGCCAAAAATTTTCGGCCTGTGCAGATCTCTGACAGATAGTACTACCATTCATAAAAATGTAACATATAGATATCAAAATACATGGCATAGTTTATGCAAACAAGTGAGGAAAAATTATACAAAATGATTGTGATGTGTTCCTTCCTTGGTTTTACTAGCCTCTATCTCAAATTTATCCGTCTTATTTTCTCTGTTGTACTTCATTTATCCTCTTCTTTTATCTTCTATTTTCTTATGAATAAGAATATCTTGGTTCTTCTATTCCGGGGTAGAGAGAAAATGAACGTGTATTGTAAGAGTTAATTTTCGGTTCGAGTTTAATTTATTTTAATATCTTATCATAAAAGAGGTCGACACGTTTGTTATGTAAATAAATTTATAGAATTAAACTATCTATTTATAACGGTAACAGACTATATTTCTTTACAATAAGATAGTATAAATCTTATCTTTTGAAGAATTTCACATTTTTTTCAGTATAATCAATCCTCTTATTGATTTGCTACATTCATTTGGAGAGAGAGAGAGAGAGAGAAAGACTTTTATTCAGAATTATTTTAAAACAATTAATTTTTTAATAGTATTTCGCTTTTTTTTTTTTGCCGAAGTTGATCGTTGTCTTTTAATCATTTTATTTATTTTTATTTTCTATATTATGTTTAGCTGTTCAAGAAGAACGTCAAAAAAATGCAGCAGGTGAAGGTGGACCATTATCACCAGGCGAAGATGAAATGCAAATAGAAAAATTAATACACGCAGAAATGAGTGTTGAACCAAAATTAGAATCATTACATGAAGAAGTATGTAATACAGAAAAGTTTTAAGAAACCGAATACGTTTTGTTTTAGGAATGTACTTATGCTCGTTTGTTGGCTACTACTCATCATCAAGTATCACAATTATCAGATTGGGCTAAACGTGTACCCTATTTTTTATCACTCTCATTAGAGGATCAAGTCGCTTTAGTTCGTGCAAGTATGTAAAAAATATAGAAAATAATTCATTATTTTCTATTTATAATTATTTAATAATTTTAGGTTGGCGTGATATATTATGTTGTTCATTAGCTTATCGTTCAATGTTAGCTCCCGAATGTGGTCTTGTACTCTTTGATGGTTCATATGTTAAACCACATACAGCTGTTGATCAATCATTACAATTTTTTATTACGCGACTTTATCATGATGTTGTTACAATAATGAGAGAATTACAGGTTGACAAAGTAGAAATAGCATGTCTTAAAGCAATATTCTTATTTGATCCGGGTTAGTATTAAAGATCATCTGTACGAGAGTAACGATTTTTGAGTCAAAAATGTGATAATAATTGCAGCTGTTTTGAACTTCATACCTTTATTTGTTGATATTTCGATCATTAACCGGTCATTTACAACAAACATAAACAGAATAACTGTACAAATAATGAAAACAACTACTTTCTTTCTCTATCCTTCCTACGAAATACCAAAGAACGAAAAAGAGAAAATTCAAGACTAGGACGATACTCACTTTATATATGCGCATATATAAAAAATCAATGACCGACCACATTATCTATACAGTGATGTGTATGTATTTTTTATTTTTATTCTTTTATAACTGACTTTTTCTGGTAGTATGAGTCTTCCATCTCCAATTGTTTTCTTTTTCTCTACACCGTCTGGAAAAACATTCCATTTAGAACTGGCACTTCGATCTAATTAAGAGTGATTCTTTAATTAGTAATCGATATTTATGTTGTTCTGAGAGTATAATTCGAAAATCGAAATTCTTCATTACATGTCCTGTATTTTTATAGTGTTTCGCAATAACTAGCTGATTTTGCCTGCGGTTCTGTAGCGGTGTTAGTTTCATTGACATTTGCCAGCGTACTAAAAGAATCTTCTAGATCTTCTTGATCCATTTTTACAATAGTTCTCTGAATTTTGCTAGTTTGTGATCGTGTTACGGGTCCTTGTCTAGAGATGATCGTAACAGGTCTTTTCAATACTGTTAGTTGTTTCGAGATATTTTTTGGCACGAATTTTGTCTGAGATAAGATAATTTTCTCTTGAACTTTCAGATGTTCATCAACACGTGTTTTTTATATATGCGCATATATAAAGTGAGTATCGTCCTAGTCTTGAATTTTCTCTTTTTCGTTCTATAGTATTTCGTAGTAAGAATAGAGAAAGAAAGTAGTTGTTTTCATTATTTATACAGTTATTCTGTTTATATTTGTTGAAAATGATCGATTAAAGATCGAAATATCAACAAATAAAAGTATGAAGTTCAAAACAGCTGCAATTATTATTACAGTATTAAAGATAATATTAAAAAAAAAAGTGAATGTAAATAAATTATATTTTTACATGATTAAGATATAACTATCAATATTATGTGTTTAGATGCGAAAGATGTTCAAGATACTGCTCGTATAAGTGAATTACGTGAAAAAGTTTGTATGGCATTGGCATCTTATTGTAAAAAAGTTCATTCAGATGATGTAGCACGTTTTGCTAAATTATTATTACGTATGCCACCGATTCGTGGATGGTGTATTAAAGGTATTGAAAATTTATTTTTTGCTGGAGCTGCACGATCAGCTGATAGTGAAATTATACAAATGATTCGTGATCGACAATTGTGAACAAAATTCAATATCTCATTGAAACGTTTTTCTTTTATATGTTTCTCTATTTCTTTCCTTTGCTGTCTTCATTATTAACCGGTTGCTGTTGTTCTATTGTTTTTTTTTTAAATTTTTATGTGAAACAAGTTAGAGACGTTTTCTCCTTTATTCTTCTGTTTGTCCACACCTACCTCATTTGGTTGTGAAATTATAGATGCCCTATTATTTTTGTGCAAAAAAAACATTTGCCGCTTTCGTCAGGTATCGTTAATATTTTCTGTATTTTTTTTTTTTTGTTCCAGATATTACATAGATGAAGTTATAAGATTGACTATAAACAGGCCTCCACTAAGATAAGCATCACAGATTCGGTATAAGGAGATATATCGATTTCTTTTAAAGAGTTCAATAGATAGTAGAACACACTGAGACATTTCTATAAGAATGTGAGTCATTTCGACTATTCTTAGTTACATCGAGTCGAATAGGTTCAATGTTACATTAACATTGGATCGGTTCGACTCTGTGCAATGCAACTAAGAATAGTCGAAATGACTCACATTCTTATAGAAATGCCTTAGTGTGTTGTTTTAATCATTTTTATTTAAATAGAAGCATCACCAATCGGGTATTTACCCATTATAGGCTTTGCGGAAGAGTGAAAAGAATGAATATGAGAAAAAACAACAACAAAATAGTAAAAAGCAGACAACATAATGTGTGGCTGCGTAAAGGAAGGTAGGAAGAATGACTGTGTGTATGAGGGGAAAAGATTTTGTGTGAAAAAGAAGTGTGTTCTACTATCTATTGAACTTTTTAAAAGAAAAGGAAAGAAATCGATATATCTTCTTATATCGAATCTGTTCTTTAACTTTTGATGATCACTTTAATGGAATTTAATTAAAACGTGTTTCTACGTATTTATAGAAGTTAAGCTTATGTTTTTTATTAGTTATTTTATTTTATTTTTCTGTTCTCCTGATCTCTGGCGTCCACTATTTTCTTTCATTTGATTTAAAACTGTTAACGGTGCCACAATTCCCGCTGCGTATTCATTTTAAAACTAAGAATATCACATTGTATAGAAAAAATACTGAAACATGTGAGACATTCTGTGATATTCACATAACTATTGTATTAATCTTTATTCGTTTTGTTTTTGTTTTCTAAATCATTCCTCTTTTCTTTCGATGAACAGGAGAATAACAAACTAAACAACGCAAACAAGATTTCGTTTTATGTGTTTATTGTGTATACACTGCATCGTTGCCTAAAACCGGTAATATAAAACTTGTCGTGTTTTTCTGCTAGTTTTAATTTACTCTTTTTAATGTGAGTACCTTTTTCCCGTTTTACATAGCTTGTTTACAAACTAGTTGAAAAGTATATTTTACCTTCTATCTGTTTTGTGTTTTCTGTTCGCAGCTTGAAAAATATAGCGTTTTTTTTTTCTTTCTGTTGTACATACGCTCTGTCTTCTTTCCCTGCCCATTTACTTTTCGTTTTGTCTCGCATTTATATGTAACATTATTATTTTGCTCTATATATTAAGAATAAAAAGCCAAGAGAAAAAATATGAGTATATTTAGTGATAAAAATCTCACATATTGTAACAAAAGAAGGGAAATTCCTAGAAATATCAGAATCAATGTAAACGTTTCTATAGCAAAAAATTCAGCATTGTTTCATTTTTCAGTAAATGGTTTAAAAAAAGTTAGTAAGTCAAATTGTTGATTTTGTTTAGTGTTACGTTTAAAAAGACTATAGTTGTGTGCGTTTTTGATTCAAATGCAAACAGAAAATATGATTAGTGTTGTATATGATTCAACTTCGTTTAGCAAGTCTAATTACCGTAATGTATTAACAATTTTATTTTACATAATATCCAAGTACATCACCAGGAACAAATTGCTGTGCATATAATGTAGTGTCAAATGGAAGTAAAACAGTTACTCATTGTGTTATTTTAAGCTGTATATTTCAAAATTAAGTATTATAGAAGCTGTTTCAAGGTCTATACGACAGAGCAAAATATATGGACAACAAAAAGAAAACAAGATCACACTTTTATCGGCAGAAATAGTCCCAAACAAAATCATTTACTCTTAAAGAGATGTATTCCTCAATGTTTACTCAATGAAAACAAATATTCCGTTTATGTGACATATTCCCTTTCAGACACAAGGTTACATACTTTAAAATGAGTGTGAATCAGAGAAAAACATCGTTTTCATATCAGCATACCAAAGATCGAAACGATTTGGTTTGGATTCGAGTCGAATAGTGAAAATAGTTTTGAGATTGTTCAAGAAAATAATTCGATGACTGAACCTCAAAAACAGTCTTAAATGTTTTTTTAAAAGCTGAATTAACAAGTAACATGTTGAGGAAGAAAACTGACATTTTCAAAGTCTTTGGTTTACGGATCGTCAAAAGCTTTCTTTACAGTTATATCGAATCAATAGATAATTTTCGAACATTTAAGATATCAGATAATGGATTCACCTCAGGATCCGGTCAGATCAGATTTTGAGCTAATTTGTCCTCTTTTTCTGGGCTTTTTTAAGCAAAAACACCAGAATTCACGCTATTTTTAGATCTGAAAGTAGTTTCAGATATATTTTTTTATCAACGCTGTCATATGAAACAAAATTCAATCACTCGTGATTACGAAAAATAGTAGATGAAGTGTCTGTGAGACGATGGTTAAAGCAAGATGCTAAGGAATCAACATTCGTATGTACATTGTGTAAAACGGAATAAATTAGATTGTGGGAACAAAGAATGGCAGTCGATAGTACAGCATATGAAAAAAGATAAACGTCGTGAAAAAATCAAAAAGTTGAAAGAAAATATATAACTCCTTTTTCCTGTGTTTTTCTTCGTTTTTTACTCGTGAAACATGGAAAAAAATACTTTAAATAGGATGAAATCTTTTCTTTGAGAGTCTTAAGCCGCTTTGACGTGTACACAACATTGTGAGTACCGTTTTTCAGCCCAAAAAAATGCTTCTTCTCTTCCTCTTTTTTATCCAAAACTTCTCTTAAAAAAAATTTGAACGTCCCTTTTTTTTCTGAAAGGATCGTTGCGAAGCCAGCTTACAATGATCCGAAGGGCTAGTGGAGGAATATGTTCGTGGAGAATATACTTTAATTACTAGAGTACAATACTAATGCCCACGGAGATAATAGAATTTTTAGAGATTCTAATCCACGTAGATGAGTAGTAGCAAACGGAACTGAATTTCTTCATTTTCTAGTATATTTTTATTTCTAAAATTTTTTTAAATAGCTGAATAAGATGAATATAAATAAAAGATTTTTCCCAACAGATATAGAAACGAAAAAGAAAAAGAAACATAAATTTTTTGTAAAATAGACAGATACACAAATTTTAAAAATTGAGACAAAAAACAATATTTTTTCTATTTCTAGTCGACAGCTGATGCTACTACTTGTACAGCTGATTGATCGGTACTTCTTACCGTCAATTGCATGGCAATATTTTCACTTAATGCCATTTTTGCTCGAACCAATATATCATGACCACCACGATAAACACCAGCAAGATAGAGTGTATGAGATGAACGACCTTCAACAATTTTATCCGATCGTTCACACGGTTGCATGCCCATATATTGAATTATCTTTTTCACAGCATCTACAAGAGAAATATAATCAAATATAAATGTAAAGAAAATAAATAATAAATAAAAGATATATCAACCTTCTAGTGTTGGCATTGATAATGCATATGTATCTTCTAATTCATTTTCACTACCAATTTCTTCCCATGATGCATTCCAATTTGGTTTTAATACTTTTTGCATATGATCGCAAACAGTCACTTCAACATCTTCGAGCTAATCAAAATAGAAAAATGACTTTAGAAATAAAAAAAAAACATTGATAAGTTTACATACCACAAATTCATCAGCATAGCCTTCTTCGTCATCCGGTACGCCTGTAGCTGGATCACAATCTTTCACTGTATATTTCATTGTACACGTTAAGGTACCCGTCACTATAGAAAAAAAGATTTTTAGTGAAAATTAACAATAAATAACTGGATTTTTGATTGTCTTTTTCTAAATAATCAATTTTTGTTTTACCTCCTGTTGGATCATCCGGCAGTTTAACAAGTGTATACGTTGTTCCCATATCATTACATTTAATAACTTGACATGGTGTATAATGAACTATTTCGAAACCATCGGCTGATTCCATTTGAACACTGACACGTTCCAACAATTGATCATTTAACGTATTATTAATATCGAACTAGAATTGTTAATTAAGTCTATATAAATAATACAAGAGGAAAAAAATAAAAAATTGCTTACTTGGAATACAATATAATGTGAAAAGACATGTTTAATACATCTCACTACATATTCAACTTCACTTTCGGTTAAATCAACAGGTGGTGATGTTTTAAATATTGGACCCAAATGAGCAAATTCAGGAATCGAAGATAATTGTTCTAAATATACACACAACCATAAGAATTCATACAATAGAAATGGAAAGTATTTTTGATTTAGTATAGTAAGTTTTGCAGGAAAAAGAATGTTCATTTATGGAATATAAGCAATGTAAAAGTAACATAGTTAGACTTGAACTTACCAGTATAAGTATCTTGTCTACTTGGTACTTGTTCGGTTGGTCTTGAAATTCCAATATCAACTATAGAACAGAGAGAAAAATTCTCTAATTGTGTAAAAGAAGATAATATCTTTCAAACCTCTAGCTGGCTCAACATGAACTGTTTCAACGGGTACTTGTCTAACATCAAATGGTTTTTGAGTTGGTTCCATTGTATAGCGTTGTAATAATCTTTCTAACGATGATAGCGAAACATTCATAGCTAAAACAAATAATCCTTGTCTTTTTATTCTGCTCTTTCAACGATTACTGAGATCTCAAATTGAAATAAGATCATTCATATAACTAATCGAAACCTTTCTCTAAGTGTTTGATTGAATATAAATATATTCTTACTGCTCAACAGCTAAATCCGTCATTAAATACCGGTTCACTTTTACATGTGTATGCATATAATATGTTATTTATCACACAGTTATTTTTACTTACAGTTAAGAATATAAGCCGAATTTAATGCTTTATCATTTTGTTGTAGTAAATGATAGAAAAATGTTGCTCGATCTCGAACTTCATCGTCTTGATCTAACATTGTTCGATGTAATAAAACTAAAACATTTGGTAATAAATCATCGGATGCCGCACCAAATTTAGCCAATGCACTAACGGCAGCTAAAATGTATTAATAAAGAGTTTCTACAGTGAATATGGACAGACAAATGCTTACCAGCTCTCACTGGTGCATTTTCAAGTATAACTCGATTATAAATATATCGAATATATTTTGCTGGTGTTGTTGTTCGTGGTCCCTCACGTCCAAGTAAATGTAAAATACGTGTGGCCAACGATGTATGTTCGCAATCCTCAATAAATTCACATAAATGAGCTAATCCTAAATAGAAAAGAAAATTATTACTCAGTACATTGTTTTAGATTAATTCTATCAACAATAAATAATCTAAAAGTCTACTGTTTTATAGTCTCAACATACCTGCTTCTTTTGCTTCTGGATTTTCTTCAACAATCGTTATAATTGTATTGACAATAGCTTTTTTATAATCATAGCCACCTTCCTCACGTAACATATTTGCCAGAAATGACATTAATGTTGAATGCTTACGAGGAAACTTTTGACATAACGATCTAAATAAATAAGTAAATATCTGTGTATAATTTATACAGAGAAAGATAAGTATCTACTTAATAGCGTCGACAACAACCGTCTTGAATTGATCCGATATTTCAGACATGAACGATGAGATTTGTTTCATTAGACGATCGACACCAGCTTCATTACCAGTCTATAACAAAAAGAATAATCCATAATATTATCATAACAGCAATGAAGATTATAAAGGCAAACATTTTACGAATAATAATTCAATTATTTTTAAGGACTAACAGTGAGGTCTCAAAATTTTACTTTTAATAATGTTGTTATAGCTAACGTTGCAATTGATCGATTGGAATCAGTAATTAATGTTTCTAAATCTACATTACACGCTGTTACAGCAGCTGGATATTGAATAGCTACCTAAAAATAAGAATACAAAAAAATGATTCCTGTTCGTTTTATTTTATGAGTTTTACTTACTTTATTTAGTGTTCGAACAGCAGCATATCTTAAAACTGGCTTTGGTGAACTAATAAACAATTGTAAAACATTAACAGCAGAACATAATTCCTTTGGTGTAACACATTTTAATGATACAATCGTTGAAGCTGCTTCGTAGATGACCATTTCGTTTTTATGACGTAAACATGAATCAATAAATTCATACATTGGACTATCAGTTCTTAAAAAAGAAAAAGAAAAATTGAATAAGAATAACAAATCAGAAGTGAACAAGGTATACATACCCTTCACCTTCTTCATTTAATAAATTCGAAGCAATACGAATCTAAAGAAAGAACAATATTTATATTAATTTTAAAAACTTGACTAGATTAAACAAGCAATTTGAATTTTGCAATCGTTTTTTTTCCTCGTTACTAGAGATTCAAGCAGAATTTGTGTTCCTTGTCGTGCCTTAATTCTGTCTTTCTTGAAGTAAACCACCTCATGGAGCGGAATTGTTTTCAAAATGCGGAAAAAAAAGCGGAAATACATTTTTCATCAAACGCAAAGGATATAAAAAAACTTATAATCCTGGAAAAGCGAACAAATTGCGGAAAAAACTACAGAAAGCGGAATTTGTCCGCAAAATACGGACCATTTAGCAACTCTGGTCTAACCCCAGCGGTTGTAAAATTCAAATTGTTCGAGCAATATTTAGTTATGTTGAAATTAGAGGTGTTAGCCACGCCGCTGTCGCTGCCGAAAAAAATTTCACACCATCGCAATAGACAGAATTTGTTTTTGGAGTTTATCGCCTCCGCCGCTGATTCGAAACTTTTTTCAAAACTTCTTTGAAGGAAATTTGTTGAAAATTATAATTTCTTTTAAAATTTTCACGCCGCTGCCGCCAAAGACGGATAAAGCTTTCAATTTGACACGCCGTCGCCGATAAAGTAATCGGCTAACACTTCTAGTTGAAATTCGTACAAGTAATCTAATTATATAAACAATTTTTGTAAATTTATCCACATCACTAAAGCATATTTTCTATACTTGAAGCTTGAAAAAATTTAAAAAATATTTACTTACAAGAAAACAGTAAGCGTATGGACTTCTTAGTCCAGCTTTTGAAAATTTTAATATTAGTTTTCGAATGGCATGTTTATCTGCGCGACGAATTTGATAAAGTAAACCCAATGCGTGATACTAGAATAGAGAGAGTAGAGTTTAGTTTATAGGAAAGAGTAATAACAGACACATACCTGAACCATAATATTATCATGATTAACAGCTTCTTGTACTTCATTAACCCAACGTTTAACAACCTCTGGTCCTTGACGCATCAAATGGGTGGATGATGTTAAAGCGGCAGATGAGACTGAAGGTAATTTATCAACAATGGCTTGTTTCATATAACGTTCAACACTTTGCATCAATGAAGCCTAAAACAGAGATTAATTTACAACCTTTAGAAAACGAGTACAATTAAAACATCATGCAGAATCTGATTGTTAATTGATTTCATATCAAACTCAGATATAAAACTTACATCGGTTATTTTACATAATGCCCTTATAGCTGGTCCACGATGTGAATCTTCTTTACCAGTCATATCTTTTGTTAAACTTGATGTAACAATAATAACATCATTCGCTACTGAAGCCATATCTTTTATTGATAAATAGACCATACGACGTAACATCATCTAAAATACATAGGATTACAGCATCATGTAAATCACTTTAGAAAAGTGTATTACATCTTTCGATTGAAATAATTTTGTCATGGCAAAAAATGTTTCTGTTGCTTCTGTTTGTCCCAATTGTTCGCCCTATAGTGAGAAAATAAACAGCAATATAAATTATATATTTTTAAGTAGAAAAATAAATCAAATAATAATAATAATAACAGCAATAGTGTGTTTCCGTGTTATTTTTTACATGTACAGTAGCCTTTTTCCCTGAACCAATCCCACAAATGATATGGTTTATCCAAAAAGAAAACAGAGTTCTATACAAATAAACATACCGTCTCTTGCTATAAAGAAACACAAAGATAATCTCGAGGAACAAATAATAGAGGTTCATCTTACCTGATTTATCATGTAAAGAATTTTTGTTAATATTTGGGTGCATTTTCTTGGGTTAACCGGTGAATCATTGAATGTACGTGCCTTAAAATAAAAGAACAATGGTACCACAGCAAAATGTGGACGAAGGGCGCCTACTTCTTGTAGAACTGATGCTTTCTCCAAATTTTTATACGGATTACCGCTTGTAGCTAAAAGAGAAATATTCAAATAATATGGAAACAAAAACACATATTAAACCTCCTACCGGATTCTTCATCTTTTTTATCTTGTTTACGAAATGATGCTAACATGCTAATTCTTTTTTCAAATTAAGGGTTCAAAGAACAACAATAATAATGATCTAAAACAGAAATTCTCTTAGCACTTATATACTCATTAAAAAAAGTAAACAAAAAGTGTTTCATTGATGCTTTTATTAACCCTTCTTTCTTCTTATCACTTTTTTTTGTTACTGAACAACTGAGACGACAGTTTATGTTAACGGGCAGAGAAAGTTCAAGACTGGGATAACCGCTATCAAACCTGTTTGAGAGGGATGGATAATATAAATGTACGAGAAAAAATCATTCGCTTTATTCGTGTAAATGTATTTCGGAACCAACAAAGAACTGGGTTATTGTGCAAACCTTTACTTCGATTTTGCTTTCTTTCGATTCTACTGATTTTTTTAATAACTGTCAGAACCCAGGAAGGCATTCAAAAACGTGACACAAAATGAAGGAAAATCTTTAGTTATAAACCCAAGTTAAAGACGTTGAGATCAATGACAAAGATGTTGAACTCTATGACACAAATATCACTTTGAAAAATCAGCGACATTTATACCGTCTTTTTGCCACGATTTCTTGCGATTTTGCTTTGCCAGTGTGATGTGTCTATTGATATGTTTCATTGACTATTCTGTCAAGGATAGCTCATCATTAGCTGACTTTCAACATCAATCACTTCGTGAGAAGAAGCCTCTGCCTCCTCTAGTTCTTTAACGTTCTACTGACTGTCGTATTAAAGAGCAAAAATAAAACAACATGGTATAATAGTAAACGAAGAAGCGAAGAAATAATTCAAGAATGTCGTTAGGATAAACCAGCGACCTCTTTAAAAACTTTAACACCGCTGCAAGTGTTATGTTATAAGGCGTTCTGCTTATTGTAT